GAGAAAGAAACCGATGGTGGCGTCAGTGGAAACCGACGACGACGGCAATGAAGGCGAGGATGATGACGGGATGGATAACGGTAACGGAGGTGGTGGTGGGATGGGGACGGAGAGACAGAGGGAGCATCCGTTTATCGTAACGGAGCCAGGGGAAGTGGCACGTGGCAAAAAGAACGGTTTGGATTATCTGTTCCATTTGTACGAACAATGCCGTGAGTTCCTTCTTCAGGTTCAGACGATAGCTAAAGACCGTGGCGAGAAATGCCCCACCAAGGTATCTTTCGATTTTATCTTCCATCATCTGATCCTGACCGTTCATTTTACTTATAAATATCGTCTTCTTGAAAAGAAAAAGAACAAATAAAATTGGTGTCGGAATTAATGGGGTATGGTAGGGAAACTATAGCTATAATCATGGACAGCTGTTCTAAAAGCAAGTTTGACAAGTCACGAGTTCAGGATTGTTTTTTTTTTTTTTGCTATGTCTGGCAAAGACTTATTATAGGTTCTGATATTTTGTTTTTCTCTTTTTCATTTCTCTCATCATGTGTTCGGAATAAATATTAGTTAGATTTGCAATTTAAATTTTTGACAGTAAACCGTACGAAGACGTGTCGAGTTGGGGAAAGGACACTGTTGTTTTCTTTTTTGTTTTTGGCTAAAACGACATGAGATTGTTAGATACGATATCCTCATTCGTTACATTCAATTTCTGCATGCATCCACATTCATATAGATTACTTATTAGACTATTTTTTTTGACAATTTATAGGGATATTTGTGTGTATATATATAAATGTAGAAGCATCAGGCTATTACTCAGCGGATAATAAAGGGTCTTCTTTCCTCTAGCGACGATAGTACAGAATCCATGAGCTCTGTGCCATTGCTTGTTCAGACGCACGTTATTAAAATCTGAGGTTTACAGATCATAACCAAAAAATACAAAAAGCAAACAAAAAGTATTCTAATTTAATTGTTTTCTTTCTAAATTTGTTGGTTTCAGTATATTGATTTATCAGTTTTGTGTTTGTTGGGGTGTAGTTACTTGTCTAGTCTAACAAGTGGTTATATCATTTTACAACTAGAGTTAATTATTTAATTTAGTTTGTTACTAATAAAATTAGTAATAACTCTTTTATTTTGTGGTCAACGTGTAAAATAGGTGACGAACCAAGTGTTTAGGTACGCGAAGAAATCTGGGGCGAGTTACATAAACAAGCCCAAAATGCGACACTACGTCCACTGTTACGCTCTCCACTGTCTAGACGAAGACGCTTCGAACGCTCTTCGAAGGTCTTTCAAAGAACGCGGTGAGAACGTTGGCTCGTGGCGTCAGGCTTGTTACAAGCCACTTGTGAACATCGCTTGTCGTCATGGCTGGGATATTGACGCCGTCTTTAACGCTCACCCTCGCCTCTCTATTTGGTATGTCCCCACTAAGCTACGTCAGCTTTGCCATTTGGAGCGGAACAATGCGGTTGCTGCGGCTGCCGCTTTGGTTGGCGGCGGTATTAGCTGTACTGGTTCGTCGACGTCTGGACGCGGTGGGTGCGGCGGCGACGAGTTGCGTTTCTAGTTTGGTTCGTGTTGTCGCCGTTTACTTATTAAAATTCCTAATTAATTATTAGTCTTTAATTTTGTCCTTTTGGCTAATTTTTTGGTCTTCTTTTTTTTTTTTTTGTCAACTCTTTTGTTTTTGCTGATTTGTTATACGCGCAGATTTCTCATCGCGTTAACCGTTGTTTAACCAAATTTGTCAAATTCGAGTTTAGTTCCATATGTACAAGTTCTATTATAATATAGGATCATTTATATGAGAGCATACTTGGGAGACTTTAATTACGTACCATAGATAGATAAGATAATGCCGACAAAAAAAAAAAAGATAGATAAGATAATAACTATGAACACGTTTAATGAGGTAAAATGACTATATACATTTTTACCAAACATTCCACAGAAATGTTATTTCTCTAAATTTTTGTTTACTGTAAAAAGATATTTAATAAAATAGCATTTTATTATAAATAAAAGTATCATTCATTTAAATTAGTTGTTTGCAAATAAACTAATTTTTGGTTATCTTCTTCGATTCGTATTAATAAATAATGGGCCAAGCCGTTTCATGTTATACTATGGGCCGGGGATATATAAACGGGCGTGCAAGAGATTGTAAACGACGAAAGCACAAAGAGAACTGAGTAAACGACTGTTTGAAATTCGAATCCTTTCTCTTCCATTTGTGATATCCTCCTACAATGGAGTTCCCGCCAAGATCCTTTTATCCACGGAGGTTCCAGGCCCCTCCGGCGAAATACACGACGGGGGAAAGTGCTGCAGCAGCTTCGGCGCCAGATCTCCGGGATAAACTCGCGACGCTGGTCGATCGCAACAAAAAGGTGAAAATGGCGTACAATCAACTCCAATCGCAGATCGCGTTCGGCCTTGTCGAAGTAAAGTCACATCCTCTTCTCTAGTGTGCTAGATTTGATTTCTGAGTAGGGCTCGCTTAGATCGATTCTGAGTGTTACAACGGATTTGAGATAGGTTATCGATCGTATTCTCTGGTGTTGGTAGATTCGTAGTACGATTCAAAGCTTGATTTGAACGATTCTGAGAGTTGCAACGTCTTTGAGAGAGGTACTCGGATTCAATTATTTGGTAGATTCAAGCTTGATTTGAACGATTCTGGGTGTTGCAGCGAATGTGAGAGTGGTTATTGTATTCTATAGTTTGATAGATTCGTCGATTCAAGCTTGATTTGAACGATTACAAGTGTTTCAACGAATTTGAGATAGATTTGCGTACTTTAAAGGCAGGGGAAGTTTTCGAGTCTTTGGCGATCCCTTTGATGAAGCTGGTTGGACTGAAAACGTCGGAGATGGAGGATGAAGGGAGACTCTCCACCTTTATTTTTAATACTGTGAGTTGTATTCAATCATCATCTTGTAGGATCATGCACATATTGCATAAATTTTCATATCATTACTTTAATTTAACCAGGAAAGATGTCATATGCATACTGCCCAAAATGGATTCCGTTCTGGTGATATGAACAATCAAATTCGCACTTCAAAGGTAGTACACATCGTGATTCTTATAATATCTGTATGCCTTGTTCTGATATAGATTACATGTGAACCGTTTAATATGATTCTGAAATCTGCAATCTGTTTTGTCAAGTATCATTCTGATGATTCTGTAAGCCTGTAATTGCTATTAGATGGAATGCCAATTAAGTAATATAAGTCTGAAATTGTAATGTGGCAAGTACATTTTCACTTTGTTGATTGTTTATTTAACTGCTCTAGATTGAATGCGAACCAATCAATATGCTTTTGAAGACTGTATTGTGTCTAGTTGAGTTCCATCCTGGTTGTTCCTTATACACGTATGCCTAGTTCTGCTGTGGAGAGAACCAATCAATATGATTATGAAATTGCTATGTGTCTATTCAAGTTTCATTTTGGTGAGTCCTTGTAATTGTTTGCCTATTTCTGTCATAGATTGAATGTAAAGCAATTGTTAGAATTGCGTAGATACCAGCTTCTCTAATCCAAGTGGATTTGTTCCTCAGAAGTTCACATGTGGTATTCTTTCTGTAGGAAGAAAGCTATGCTGCGAAAGCCGAATCAGCGGGAAAAGAGATCCTGCACAAACATAAGGGGCAGCTGAGGGAGTTAATCCATATGCTTAGGCACATTGAAACACAAGTGAACTCCCATCGGGAAGAGATTCTGCAGATGGTTGACGATCGCAGAACCTTCTTCCAACAATTCATCCAGAAATCTCTGCTTTACCTAAACTCGGTTCACAGCAAAAATCATGACACTTTCCCAGTCACAGTGAAGCTCCTTCACGTCCTATTTAATAACATCAATGAGGTGCTTGGTTCAGTAGATAGTGGTGTCAATGATCTTATGCAGGCTTTAGCAAAGAATATGTGTCACCCGATGACCAAGTACGTAGGCAACTTGGCAGCTGAAATAAAGCTTGGCCCTTGTGTGCAACTGATGAATGTAGTGAATGAAATGGAGAGAGCAAGCGCAGACACAAAGAGAGAGCTACAAGATGCTAGAGAAAGGATTAGACTTGCAGAAGAGACAAAGATAGATGCTTTATTAAAGCTAAAAAAAGCTGAAGATCATGTTCAGAGAATGACAACATCTGCCAAATTTCTTCTACCCGCCAGTCAGAAGAAGAAACAAGCTGAACATTCTATCACCGGCAAGGTAAAATTTCGAAAATGAGTTTTGTTTGTGGAAAACTCAAATGATTAACAACTCTAAAAGGCTTTTTCATCCTTTTGTCTATCTAGCGAAATGGCACAGAGGGAAGCCGAGAACACGAAGAGAAACTACTCTGGGAAATACTGAGCAAAAGGAGAAAGCAACAAGAACCAGAAAGTCCAATGGGACCTAATGAGCTCATCAGACAAGCAGACACAAAACAGAAGCCATTGGTGTATAATCGCCGAAGGACGAAGAGCCAAACAAGATTAAGTTCTCAAACAGCGCGTCCTGATGCTTTGATCCCACTTGGATTGTCACCTTCTGCTAGAACAGTAACCTGGAGGTAAGTAAAGCAAGCACTAGTTTGACGCATTGCATCAGAATCTATCCACAATATGCTCTGAAAAAACAATGAGATCCGATAGCTTCTTTATTACTTAAAAACCTTTAAAGTTTAAACCACTCTCATGTCATGTCATTAGTTACACTCTGATGAGCTTTAGGATTTCTCGAGAAGATCAAGTTGTTGATTAACTAATGACCCTCGCTAAATAGCTAATCCTGGTGACTGTAACCGTGATGTGAATTTTGCAGTGACCAAATATGTATCAAAGCTTTTAAACTTCAAATCAGAAAAGCTTGGGACAAATACGAATTTCTTGGGATTGTGCACCCCAATATCCCACGTTTTAAAATTAGTGGGCCTAAGTTCAACATGTAGGCCCAATTACCTTCCGACGTCGGTTAGGGTTCGTATCGATGATATCACCTGAAACCCCGAGTTTCTCCCTCCGCCTCCGTCAACAGAACGCAGAACTAAGTAATTCACCGTGGTGGTCACATACCTAGATTCCTCGATTCAGATACGAACAAAATAACATCATAGTGTCTCTTGTTCTCCGGGTAAGGTTCTCAAGTAGATTATCTTCATACACTTGCGACTATGTCTCTGTTTCGAAATCTACGTTGTGTTTTTTTTTTCTTCCAATTCTGATAGTAGAATTCTTATACCATACTTACATTCTCAGGTATTACATCTGTCGAAGTCACCAATCATCGGTCTGTTTAATCTCTAACGATGGTATGTGTAATTTCCCTACCAAATGTTTCTCTAGTTTCAAAGTCCACATTCTTTTTTTCCTCATTAGAGCCGGTTTTATTGAAATCAATATCAAGTTAAAAGTGAAATCAGCACGAAAATTTTCAGAATTGTGGCATCTCTGTGACCTTGATTATTTGTGGAGATCTTGTTGATCTGTTGTTTTTGTTTGAATATTTGTTTCATAGGGAATTTTTCTGTGTGTCAATAGTTTCTTAAATTTGTGTGGAGTTTGCAAGAGACTATGCTCTGTGACTGATGACATTAATTGACATCGCTTATTCGCTTGAATACTTGTGTGCAGGCTGCAAGAGTTTTGGCGAGTATGATTGTGATGGGCTCTGGAATCGTAGCCAGGGCTTGTGCTCAGGCATATCGTCAGGCGCTTGCAAGTATGTCTTTTCATTACAGTGTTCTTCTGCTCTGCCTTTCTTTTGTTTCTGGACAAGAATGCAATTATCAGAGATTTCGTTTTTGTATGTGTGATATATCTTTGTAAAATTGTTGATAAACACTGTTTGGAATGGTGACAGATGCATCCAAATCCGGGGTTGCGCATGAAGCAGCTCAAAGTTTGAAGAGAGGGAGCAAAGGGTTAAGTGAACTAGAAGCTAGAGAGATTCTTGGTGTAACCGAGAAATCATCTTGGGACGAAGTTCTTAAGGTTTGTCTTTAAGCTTTCACCCCGGGCTAGTGGAATCTCGAATAGGGGCTTATAATTTCTTCTACTGCTAATTGAAAAAAAAAAAAAACTGTTTCTTATTAAGATGGTATGTTATGTTTTTTCTTTGTAGAAATACGACACATTGTTCGAACGCAATGCACAGAACGGAAGCTTCTATCTCCAATCAAAGGTCCATAGAGCAAAGGAATGCTTAGAGACTGCATACCAGAAGACTACTACAACAAGTGCATGAAGAAAATAAATTACAACTTTTGAAGCAAATCAGTAATATAAATCTTTTGATACAAGTTTTAGTTAGTTTTAGGTCGACAAGTTTGAAATCTAGTGAGAGAAGACGGTGGAGAAAGCCGCCAAGTTTGAAATGAGAGGAGGTCGGTTTGGCCGGAGTGCGGACAGTTACCGACTCACCGGCTGTTGTTAAGTTGACTTTACTGTTCTTTTGTATTTATTTACTCGTTGAATTTTAGTCTGTCTAGTTGAATCATCTGAAATTGAAAAAATCTAATCAGTTGAACAATAAAAAAGGAAATATCTGTTTATTTTAATGTCAAATATATTGACTAACCACATTACACGTTCATTTATTTTGAAGTATACACAGTCCGGTGGATGGATAATCCTATATAATTTTGGTCAACTGTTTCAAAATTACACTGTCGAATACTTTATTAGTTGTTTGATAGTCAACTAAACGGATGGAGTTGCACTAGCTACTAAAACGAAACCAAAGTGGTCCAACACAAGACTTCGAAGTCCAAGTCCAAGACTCCAAGTGGCTTTGTGCGGCTGCGGCGGTGTTTACTACCAATTACACCACCGAATCCAAATATCCAAGTGAGGACGCTATTTTTTTATAATTTGAAGTTCGGATGTTTTTTACAAGTGCACACAAGTCGGCCGCCGAATATTATATGCTTCACACTTTAAAACTACAATTACTGATTTAGAAAAACTCATAAAGTCAACTACATATTTGAAGTCTTTGATGTGGAATTGATATTTGATGCGTATTAGCACTGAGTTGAAGTTTGGTCAAACATTAACGGAACATATACAATACTATAGTGCCTCATGTAATATGCATTTTATCTTGCGTTGAGGGTCGGTGAGATTATATGTGTTTACTTATGACCAGAAATCTAGCATCTTTAATTAAATCAAGTGAAAAAACCAAATCTGATACATACGCTCAAGAAAAAATCTTAAAGGGAGGACAAAAATAAGACTCAAAAACGGTGAAGAAACATATATCTTCACCTTAAATTTTATGAGAGACATGCATATCATCATACTTCATCACAATTACTACTTCAAAATCTCGTAATTCATATATCTCAAAAACCTGATCGAGGAGAGGAAGAAGAATCACCGAAGTGCCAAAACCTGGCATAATCTTGCTCTTCTTGTTGCCTAGAAGAGCCACCAGAAGAGGAAGAAGTTGTAGCTGCAGTAGTAGTACTATGATCATGTGACACTGAGTTACCATATCCACCCCCCGAATTAAAACTTAGCATATCGTTACTACTCCCATCTTGGTAATATTGGCTGTATGGTATATTCTGCGGTTGGATTTGTGGAAGCTGATTGGAGGAGTAATAAGTAGAGTTGCGTCCGAGCTGAACCCTCTCCGGGAAATTGAGTTTGGCTTTGCTTCCTTTGAACTTTAGAGCTGCTTCATCATATGCTAATGCCGCCGACTCAGCGGTCTCAAATGTCCCGAGCCACACACGTGCCGCCTTTTGAGGATCTCTTATTTCGGCTGCCCACTTTCCCCATGGCCTTTGCCTTACCCCTCTATAATGTCTTCTCCTCAAGTTTCCTTAGTTGAAAGTCACAGTAAAATTTAAAATCATCAAATCTCTTTGTCATGGTCTATATATGCATAGTGCATGTAATTAAACATTTTATATATTTCATGTATCTATATGTATAGCATTACATATATTGGTGCTAATTAACTAATTTAAACCATATACTACCAACAAATCTTCATGTGACAACTTAAAACACACAATTTGGTAGTTACAGAACCGTTGTTGGTGAAGGACTATATTGAAAAGCATAGTTTAAGTTATAACTGTCTATTAAGTGTGAGTTCCACTTACTGATATGAGATTTGCACAAAATTTCCAAACACTTTAACATAGTTTCAAGAAAAATGAAAAAAAAAACGCAATAACATAGACATGAGCATGTATATGTATATATGTATACCTTCATCTTGATGAGTAGGAGCAACTTGTTGAATAGGATCTTGTGGGTTATACACAGAAGGATGGTTATCAATAGAGCCCATGTTATCGTGAGAATTGCTTTGTTGGTTTCCGATTACTTGAGTCAAGGCCGAGACCATAACACGCATGTCGTGTTGAGATCTGGCCGAGAAGACAGGGAATAAGTTCTCATTTTCCTCGATTTCTTCTTTGTCCTCTGATTCATTGGAAGGCCAGTTCCCATACATTCGAGGATCCACTTAACTTTTGCTAAAATGTCTCTTTAGAAAGTTACGACCTTTTCTCTCTAGAAAATATCAAATCCGATATAGGATTCAGAGTTTAGGGTTGTTCGGTGTTTTCTTTATGATATCTTTCAACATCAAGAACAATAGTAAGAAGACGATAAGGAGAAGAAATTAGATTGAAGTAAATGAAGAAAGAGAGAGAGAGAGCGAGAGAGTAAAGTTTTTTAGGGGTTTGCAGTTTGCAGATGCTTTTATAGATGAAGTCTTTTCTACGTGTGAACATATGACCTAATAATTCTATACGTTTTAAGTTTGTTTTTTTGTTTTATTCCTTTTCATATTTTCGTCTTTAACAATTAGTTTAGTTTTATATATGTGCATGCTTTGTTATCGTATTTTTTTTAAAATATGTTTGTACGATCAGTACGGAGAGTAAAATGAAGACATATAAAACATATTGAGAATGTTTGTTAAACTTTTCTTAATGAGGAAAGTGCATGTGTATTTAAATATCAAAAGGGAGGAGGATATTTTGTAAAAGATTATACTATAAGATTAGAATACTACTACACGAGATGGAAAAAAACTAAGCATGCAAAAGTGAAAAGAATAAAATAAAGAAGATATGAAACTGCGCATGCATGTTCGTGTTTTGTTTAATCATTCTTTGTTTTTATTGTTTGTGTGTGTGTGTGTGAAAGGTTTTAACAGATTCATGGAACCCGTAGGAAAAAGAGATAGACTATACAATAGTATATATTTTTGTGTTTTTGAATAATAATTTTAAATGTTAGAAAAGCATAGCTATATTGTGTTCTTAGTTGTAAATTGTAATGTAAACGGACACTTTATTATTTAGTTTTCGTCAAAATTCGACATTCTCTCTAAAAAGATATCATATACAATTTAGTAATGTAAATTACCGACACCCTTTTGTGATTTAAAAAATAATGGAAATATGAGTTTGCGTACGTGAGAGGTGAATCTAATTTTTAATGACTGGTTGACTAAAAGAATTGCAACACAAGAGACGTTGTAACACCTCTAAATCCAAGAAACGTGTACACACTCTCAAACTCAAAGCTAAGGGATAATATTTTTTGAAGTCTTTTGATCTTTTCCCCAATTGTTAACTAGGTTGCATGGAAACGGAAACGCATACGCGGAAACGAAACGTTTCGGAAACGGGAAACGACAATTTTTGAAAATTAAAGAATGGAAACGTTTTGGAAACGTATGTATATATAATTTTATATATATATACTAAAATTCTAAATATAAAATTCATATTAAAAAAAAAAATTTGAAAACATAAATACTAAATAGTTAAACAAAACTCTAAAAGATAATACTAAAACGCTCAAATTCAAATGTTTGGACCAGCATCACCGTTATCATTTTTATCAAATAAAACAGCCTCTAAATCAGGTTCGTCTAGAGAAAGATCTTCAGACTCAAGTCTCCCAAGATTAAACTCATTTAGTGAATCAAGTTGATCACCTCCAACATCCCACATATGATTAGGACCATAATTTATATTTATAGAAATTATATATCTTTTTCTATTAGAGAATAGAGATAGATACAATCTTTTTTTTTAATCACAATATATATCGTATATTTTATATTTTTTTAATCTAAAAACGGAAACGAAAGTTTCCAAAACGGAAACGAGAGTTTCCATCGAGTTTCCAAATGGAAATTTTTAGGAATCGTGTTTCCATGGGTAGTTTCCGAGTTTCCGAGAGTTTCTGTTTCTGAAACGTTTCGGAAACGGGAAACGCACTTTGAAAAGAGTTTCCATGTAACGTAGATTGTTAAACCTCTAGCTGCTCGAAGTCTCCATCTTATATACATACTCTTATATATAAAAGCACGACAAGGCATCGTAGTTAAAGATGTAGTCGACACTCATGAGTATGGAAAACTATATACTGTATATGGGAAGGGGAAGCACATTAATTATTGTCGTATGATATATCGATGAAATCGATTACAATTTTACATGGTTATATAGTGTAATATTTTTGTAGACATTATATAATTGCTCCTTGGTCGTGCATGCTAAGGGTTGTGTACACGTTTCTACTTTCGAAAGGAGATGCTTATTTTTACTCTATGGAGAACTTGCCTATCTAAACATTATTGGCTTGCATGTATGTAAGTAAAAAAAGTTTGATTTTTGAATAAAGTCTTGACCCAAAAAGTCAAGCGAAGAGATAACTAAGTTGACAGGTAGAGAGAACTTATGAACATGAATATGTGTCAAGTGGGATATAGATAATGTAAGACTTGTAAAATGTAAGATACACTTTGACTAACAAGAACAAGATCATGTGTGTGTGTGTGTGTGTACATGCGCTGGTGTTAGGTTCAACTACCATTTCCCTAACTGGCGGTTTATTTATGTTTATGATCAATTTTTCTTAATTTAAAACATGCATTACTGTAAAATGTCTTTGGTCTCATCAGTTCCTTGCAACCCCCACTTTATATCATACTATTCACCATGTGACCACACACCTAACTATTCATTTATTTGACGGAATATTTTATGTTGATGATGAATACTCTTACCATTTATTTACCCTTTTGAAAATGATGATCATGTGATTTGTGTTATACTTTTATCATTTACAATATCCATTGTTGTTTTTTGCAAATTTTCTTACGTTTTCACGTTTAAGAAAAATGACTATTGCACTATATATGATACACGCTAAACATATAATTATACAGCTAAGAAATATAGTAATCGATCTACCGAACATAAATTTTGACATTACCGGACTTTTGGTGTTCAAAAACAAAAAAAAGATTGGTTAGCGTAGATGTTTATGTTGTTTTATTTATAATTAGTCTTTAGATATTAATACCATAGTTTGAATTTGAACCCTTGATATAACAACAGTCTTTACCAATGATATTTTGAACAAGTTTTATCTGTAACATGAGGGTTTATTTGACGTTCAAAGACTATACATTTTCTCTTCGTTCGAAACTCTTTATACATCCCACCGAATTCAGACGATTCAATAGAAGACGAGAAAAGACAGAGAAATAGAAAAAGCCAATGTAATGGAGTAAAACGACGACGGTTTTTGTCGCAGTGGTTGATGTAATGTGTATAATATGCACACACGTTCATTTACAATATCGTTATTCATGGAGGAATTGGCTTCATATTACGGATTCTCATATACGTCAGAAACTGCGAAGGCAATTCTGCAAGAAGCGCTTGTACTACTGAGATCTCTCCATCTGCAAAACAAGACAACACCATTCAAACCCACTAAACCTAAAAAAAATAGCTTTCTCATTCATGAGGGTTTCCTGCTGGGAAACTCCATAACCAAACTAAACTCACATTGGACGTCTCGTAGTGCAACAAACTGAACAATATCTCGTGAAGCCAGTCGCCCACTCGAGCTCTCCAATCTTTCTCCTTTATCTGCGTCTAGTATCTATAAACAATAGTACAGTTTACACAAGATCAATCATATACACTTGTAACAATCTCGCATGACTTTTTTATTCTTTTCTTTCTGAAGGCAACAATGTGTTACCTCCATTTCTTTAAAATCAGCTCCTCCAACTCCTACAATGAGGATCGATAGCGGCAAATCCGATGCACTTACTAATGCGTCTTTTGTTTCTTGAAGATCTGTTATAACACCATCCTGAAACAAGAGTTTGTTTGTGGTTTCTAAAACACATGCCTGATTTGTTATTTTATGTGATGTAGGCTTTTCTTTCCCTATATAATATACTCACTGTGATGATCAATAAGACGTAATATTTCCGTGAACCTTGAGCTAGAGAGGCGCTGGCGATCATTGCAGCAGAGTTGATCACTGGACCAAAAAGGGTAGGCCCCGCAAGCGAGACATTGAAGAGGGCACTGGTGTATGAAGTCATGATACCTTGAATCCCATCTACCTGAGAGAGAGGGAGAAAATAACACAATTAGCGTGTGAATCTAAACACATCAAAGTCTAATTTTGAAGTGAGTTTGTGTACCACCTCAGAGTATGAACTGCTTCCGTTGAGGTTAAAGCAATGAGAAACTGGACTGTCGATTGGTCGAGCTCCGAATCCCCAGGCAGGGAAACGTTTGTCAGAGTCATAAAACTGCAACACTTCTCCAACATCAACTATTGCCTGAGATAAAATAAGAGATCATGATTGTTTAGTCACAGTCACAGTCGCTGCTAATTATAAGAAAATGGAATAACACTGCGTCCTTACTCTCTGATAGGCATTTAATCGTCCTGAAGGATCAATATAGTGCAAAGAATCAGGGAGGCGGGGATTTCCGTTTGAAGCTGAAGGAGAATGGTTCAGTTTGGATTAGTGTACAGGAAGGCAACGGAGGTAACAAGATGATGTATTGCTGATAGTTTCCTTTTGCATATAGGTGACAACATTACATACACTATGATGAGTTTAAACGATATTCCGCGGTGGTGCAGTACATACCTGTGAAATCTATTGCTACCATGAAGTTTAATTCAAACCCAGATGCCAAGTATTCTAGGAACGTGTGTTGGACAGTCTCGGTAAACTTGTCCACAAAAAGCTGGCTCTTTAACACCTAAAACAACGATCAATGGTATTAGATAGCTTACATGAAAAGGCATGAACATGTTAGGAAATCATTTCGTATTGGTATATACTTTGTTTTGTCCAGGACCAGTAGGCAGAGATAAATTGATTCCTTGGCCAGCCAAATGAAGTTTCTCCAAGTCTGAAAGTGATTTCTGAACTTTTCTAGCCACCCAAAGTAAACGAGTAATTATGTCAGCTAACAGCTTAAGTCACTCCAAAATAAGATGGGCTGAGCTCTAAGATTATGGTTACCCTATCAGACTGTGTTTGCCATTGGAATTGAAGTCTGAGCATTCTATTATAAGTGGGCTGTCCTGCAGGATTATATAAAAAACTTGAGAGACATTTCTGTGAATTAACATGCATCTCAAACAGAGAAACAGACCTTCTATTCAATCATCCATTTCGTTGAAAGCTCAGATATAAGAGATCTCCCATACCTTACTTCCCACTTGTTGAACACTAAGAAAGACTGGTTTCCAAATAGGGTTAAGATCGTTCTTCCTGACTTCAGTTTTAGACACGGGGATTGGAGAACCATGCTCTACAATCTTTGATACCACCAAAAAGGGGTCCTGAAGTCGAGCAAAAACAAAAACGATATGTGGGTATATTTATGTCAGAGCAATATTTTTTTAGTAAAATGGTAAAGAGGATAGATTACAAACTTACACTTTTTGAGAAAAGATCCTTAGATTCCAGACTTGAACATCTAAATACTATCTCCGTACTAATCTTAGAAGCAAGGGACTCCTCAGCATGGATGATAAGCTTTCCGTGGTGAGGCTGAGTTTGTGGACCAAAGCCTTCTTTACGCTTGAGTTCTAATGTGCTAGTCCTAGTTGATTTAGTGATTATCTGCGAGGTTGAAAAGTAAATAAGACGAATATGTACTGTGCAAACAAGTGCAGATACATATATCTGTCTGTAAAATAAGAAGGGAAGCATTGAAGCAGTTGCTACCTCAGACAAGGCACATGTTGCTTCACCTAGAAACTGCTGTTCGTCAAGCTTAAGCATCTGAAAAGTGAACCTTCAGTAGTAAGTACACTAGGTATAACATGAAACTAGGTTGGCCATGAGATATACACACTAGATACAAAATTGACATTCGATAAAAGAAAACATAAGATAAAAGGAAAATGCAAACAAGAAAATAGAAATGACCTCCTCTCTTGAATTTTGAAACTTGGTGTCAACGTCAAACACACGAAACCTGTGTATAAACAAGCAAAAGAATAAGAAACCTGTGAGGTAAAAAGGTAAGAAGAAGAAGGTATATGAATCTGTTGCCTCTTACACCAAAGTTTGGACAGTCTCAAAATGATAAGCGAGTGTAAAATTCTTAATCCACTTGGGAGCTAAAGAGTTCAAAATAACTTCGGTGCGAAACACTTCTGAAAGTGTTGCATCCTTTTCTTTTTTATAAACAACCACCATTGGATCACTCTGCAGAAACAAAAAAAAAGAATCAGAAGTTTTTCTTGACATTAAGAAGCGGATATGAAAATATGACTACGTAGTTCTTCTATTTTGAGTCAGTTTCCATAGATAAAAGCCAAATTATAGAATTCAAAGTAAACAAAAATAACCTTGGAGAGGACGTCCCGATCTCGCAAATTAGAAGCAGAAAACGATAGCTGCACAAACAAAAATCCTCAGATACAGAGACAGTCGAAATTTCGCACTATTAAACGAAGGAGATGAAGATAAACTAATAAACACCTCGATTTGAGAGAAGAGTCCGTTGAAGCCTTTAGACTTGAGATAGTAATCGACGGCGTCGTTAGTAGCGGCGAGAGCGGCGGAGGAAGCACTTGTACCAACGCCGGCAATAGCACCAGGAGCGGAAGAGACATCGGAGCAGCAATTCCCCATGGATAATTCTCTCGATTTCACAGATAAGAAAGTGAAAAAAAGCCTGTGGAATCAGAAGAACCTGGAATCGAACAACAATCGTTTTCAGAGGATCTGTTTTGGCACCAGGACGACGACGATGAAGAAGAAGAAGAAAGGCAAAAAAAGAGAGCAGTAAATGGGACCCACTTGGCCAAGTCAATCTTTTTCCTTTTTTTTTTTTTAATTGACTCCCTCTCCGACAGACTCCCTCCTTTTATACTCGTTTTTTTTTTTAAATTATTTTTGTCATCATTTAATTTATTTGATTAAGACTGACTTTGAGACGAAATATCGCAGAAACGTTATGCTATTTTCTGAGAAAATTCACTTTCTAAGACGACGTGTTTGTCATTTTGGATTTATTATTATCTGTACGTGTCATTAATAATCTCTGATAATTCCAAATATTCTCGCTAATCTATTGCCCTGGGTATCCTTTTTTTTATATTTATAAAAACATATTTGTTAATACATGCTTTTATATAACCTTTTCAAAAATAATAATTGATATTTGCAATACACTTGTTCATTTTTTTTCTTTAAGCCAACTGGACCTGTGATACTTTCTGGTGTTATACATAATTGTGATCAAATATATTTTAATTCACATAAAAGTTGATAGAAATTTTCAAATTAAGGAGTACAAGTTGTTTGTTACTATTGTTGGTACAACTATTTGGAAAACACTTCAAAATTGCCCACTAGAATAAGAGGGTAAGAAAGTTACCCCCCACTGAGGGGACTTTCATGAGAAATATTATTTATACTAGTCCGGAAATTATGTGGAAATAATACTGATGATAATGTATTTGTTTACATGTGACTTTCCAAAAAGTGGATTAAGATTTACGTTTTATAGACGTTCAGTGAATGAAATAAGCAAACGCTAACTTCAGTTTTTTCTTTGTTAATAATATTTTTTTTGATGATCTGGTGTGACAAAACAACCACAAAGCTGTAAAATCAGACGGGACCATTGACAAAAGAAAGAACAAGGAGGGCACGAGGACCATAGCCTACGCAATTTCTGTAGCTAACAAAGGTAATGTATACTTAACAATAGAGAGGGAATGAGAGGTGTAATTTAATATCTTTTCGTTGGAGAAGAAAGATTATATGAAAAGCTCTTTTGAGAAGAAAAAAAAACAAAAACAAACTACATGTGAATTGCAGTGCAAGTGCTCAAACATACATAGTGGGAAGGAGACTTGGGACACCAAGAGAGAAAACTCAATACCAAAGCAAAGTCTTTCTTTTTCTACTAACATTAAGCATATTTATGGTCTCTAGGTGTTGTGTTTGAGAGATATATTTTGGCCATATCGTGTGCTTAAGGTGAACCTTTCACCTTTCAAGGTATTATTCTTAATATGTAGTAAATCCCAAGTATTAAACATGAACATAATAAAAGAAATGTTTTTAGTATTGATGACAGGATTATTAGTTTTACATCCCAATCAGAATTGCATTTCAGATTGCACTCCTGAAATGAGACTTAAAAGAAGTTTTGATGGTTTGAGGAGTTTCCTCTTGTGCAGCTTAGGAATGAATATGATCAAAACCATAAGATAGAACTTTAAAAAACTTACAGTAAAAGAGCTGGGGACTCTAGCTATTATGTTGTTGATCTTCTTTTCCAGTAAGCGCACCAGTTTGAGTCCATGCCTCCCCACCATCCCATATCCTGCAATATCAATGCAAAGAGGTTTCAGCAAACTATTTATCACCTGAACAGATAACAATGCTCCTCAACTGAGTTTGAACATTCTTTACGTACACGAGAGTTAACAGAGTCCTCTCTCTGGCAAACCAGACTGGCAACACTTCACACTTTAAGATGCTTGATAATAGGTTGTGGTTGCATCCGCTGTTTGAGGGTAATAAGACTGATTCCAATCTCCTGTTGCATATCCCTGGTTCGCAGCATTCCAATCAGCTGTCCCGGGGGCCCCTGGTACAGAACCTTGCGTTACACCTTGTTGACTGTATACAACAGTTTGAGCATGGTACTGCGGCATGTAACCAACAGCTTGAGCATGTGGTTGTGTTGTGTATTCAGCAGCTTGAGCATGTGGTTGCAGAGCATACCCATTTGCAGCAGCATAGGGTTGCTGAGCGTATCCGGTTGCTGCAGCATGGGGTTGCTGATAATACCCAGTCGGTGCAGCATGAGGTTGCTGAGTGTACCCGGCTGTGGCATCATGGGGTTGCTGAGAGTACGCGGTTTCTGCAGCATCATGGGGTTGCTGAGAGTACCCTGTGGCTGCAGCTTGGGGTTGCTGAGAGTACCCGGTTGCTGCAGCATGGTTCTGCTGAGAGTATCCGGTTGCTGCAGCATGGGGTTGCTGAACGTATCCAGTTGCTGTAGCATGGGGTTGCTGAACGTACCCATTTACTACAGAATGAGGTTGCTGAACGTACCCAATATCATGGGAATTTTGAATATTCCCAGTTCCACCAGCATAGAGTTGAGTAGTATGCCCCATAGCTGCATAATATTGCTGCTGTGGATAACTAACTGTCCCAGCATACGACTGTGTACTTTCTTCCACATTCCCAGGCTGTATATGCGTGGTATAATTACCCATTACACTTTGAGGTTGGTGTGTGTAACCAGTTGTTCCAGCAGCTGGTTGTGAAGCTTCACCATGTGCAGGTGTAGGATAGCCAGCTGTCTGAGTATGAGATTGAGCAACACTAACTGCCTGCATATCTGGTTGCATGGATACCGTAGTATTTGAAACTGTAGATGCTTCTTGGTGATAGTAAGTCCTAGCAGGAATCTCCTGCTGCTGACTAGCTTCCCCTTCCTTTTGTGATGCCGAAGTATGGAACTCACTTCTATGCAGCACACTCCCATTCGCTGCAGGTGCAGACGATTGCTCATTCCCAGATAATGACGAAGGGTAATATTTCTTATCAGAATAAGGTGAAGCAAACTGGTCCTTCTCTGATGGTGTTGCCGGATAATATTCATTTTCTGAGGCCAAGCGATCTGGGGCAGTTCCATATCTGTCGTAGCAAAAAAACCAAGACCTATGATTACACATTCACACATAGGTAACTGCAAAGCCAGAAAAACAGGAACAGTGTAAACATCTGTGGAGTGAAGGTCCTCGAGGAGTCTAGTCCAGTTCTCGGGTGTAGCTATGCTTTTAAGCATCTGATCGCTACAACTATAAGACCTTAAGTGAGCTATGATCGACATATTTGGCATAAGATAAAAATTCAAGTTGGGACTGAATTAGGATGATAAATCAAATAAGTTATTGGCTTAAGGAATGCCAAAAAACCCCTACAGCCATAGTTACCTCCGAATATTAGATAAAATGGTTAGGTATTTGAGTTGAGGGTCTTGTATAGATGACCGAGAAGGATCTGACTGATGAGGGTCTCCGAGCAACCGTTGCTGCCGAGCTTCCGTAGGATAATAAGGCTGATCCAAATTTGACAGATTTTCTTTAGGTGGGGTAGTGTAGTCGTCTTGTCTAGAGTAACTATGTTGGAGCAGAGATGTGCCGGAAACAGACAGATGGGCCATAAGAGAGGCAGGCCGTGGTTCTGCATGACGAGCATACAGAGGATCTAGAACCGATGAAGCATTTCTACGTTGTGTAGAAGCTATGAACCTTTCCTCAAAAGATAGAGTCCTGGGTGCAGAAGCTCTGGAAGCCAATCTATGAGGCAACACATCGAGTTCTGGGGCAGTAAATGGACGAAACAATGATAACAAAGACATAACCTGCAATCAATGAACATTTTTGTTTAGCATGTCATTATTGAAAGCCAAGCCGAGAACTTTAAAAAGCTGTGTAGAAAAATAGCAAGAAAAAGTGTATTACTTGGTGAGGAGCAAGTTCTTGCTTAAATTTGGATCCGTTGTAATTTTCATAGATAGCAGACTTGAAAGTGTTCTCTGGCAAGGGGTAACAGTTCATGACGATTCTAAATCCAACCTGCCAAAAATCAAGTTTAGGCACATTCAGTTGAAAATTTATGGAGTGCTGGTTAAACAAAATCATATGTTGTCTCACAGTCTTACCTGAGCAGGATATTTCTTGTCAAAAGCTTCAGGCTCTATGTCCAACCTGCCACCAATAGTAGCTTCATAGAGACCATAGAGAAGTCTCTTCTCAAAGTCATAGAGGAAAAGCTTCATCCCTGGTTTGATACTCTCAACAACGTCTTTTCTTGCTCTCGGAATCCCGAAAACACGGTAACGGTAGCAATCGTTTTTCGTCCTCCCATTACACATAAAGATATAGCCATGTAGCTGTTCATGATGATCCTGAGGTCTCCTTTGTATCCCTTTCTCTAATCCAGTGGCTGCGTTTCCATAAGCAGCCAAAAGATTCCTGTTATACACAGTAGAAGCAGCGTTTTGGGAGGCAGCAACATCTGCATTCTTAGTATTAGTTTGTTCACCATCAGAGAACTCCATCTCCGTCTCCATCCCTTCTGCCATTTTTTCCCCCCTGTATTCCACAAGTCACAAGTAAGCAACTAAGGATGAAGATGTCACTGAAACTGAAAAATATATCTCGAGAGAGGTACACACAGTTCAAAGAAGCAAATGTGGAAACGATAAATAGAAATAAATACGAAAATAGCGCATACGATTTGGGTTTTGAGAATCAAAAGGAAAAAAAAAAGGTACGAATTTCAGAAAAAAAAATGAAAGAGAGATATGAAAATGAGGCAAGAATCAAAAGTGACTTACCGGATTTTGAAACCCTAGAAAAGAAATTGAAAATCAGGAAGATTGAATAAGAGAGGAATTTGCAGATCAGCTCATTATCAGGTGTTGATTTGATCTAAGATAGAGTTTTAACGTGCGAATCTGAATAGAAAGAAGAAGTTGGATTCTGTCTATATATATATGTAAGTTTCTGTTCATGAAGGTCGCGGAGAAGATGACTTTCAGAGGATGAAGCCTCAAGTGTCAGACGTTGGAGGCAGAATATTTAAATGGGCCAAAAACCATCTAATGGGCCTTCATGAATTCATAATTAAGACCCAAGTCTATTGTCGGAACACACTAATTTACCGTCGTTTTAAAACTAAAAAAAAATTAACAATTACAGTGATTTGGAACTTTCTGACAAGCCGAGACCAGAGTTGTGGTACTGTTGTGAAATCGATCGCTGTCTTTGATTTGATTAGAGATCGCAGTCTTTTTAGAGCATAAAGCCTTAATTTTGCAACACTTATCTCTTCCGGTGTTCGAATTTTCAGCTAATTTATATCGAAGAGATCATCTCTCGTTGTGAGTTTCAGGTTCGTCCCATTGTGATATGGATGATATAAGGGTTTCTTAGGATTTGAGTTAAATTGGTTTCATCTCCTTAGTTATGATTCGGCTCTGTTTGTTAGTTCGTAATTCCGGCTTCTGGGTTTCTTCTTGCTTGTATCAAGATACGAACCTAGAGAATTGCTTTTTGTCTTCCATTACTGAATCTCATTGATTGCATAGATATATTGTCGGAATGAAATTGAAGATCATCTCCAAATCGATTATCAAGCCTTCCCATTGATGGACTAAGTCTTGTTTAGAATTTTCTTTCTATTCGCTTCTTAAATTTAAGTTTTTGTGTTAAAAAGGAACATTTTATGTTTCCTTTGTAGGAATGTCTTCAAGGGAGAGGCTAGGTTCAAAGCATCATAGCCGAGTTAGCCAGGGGATGTCAACTAGTGGGTCATCATCATCCAGGCACCACGAGATCATCTCTTCGGCTTTGGATCCCCGTCATCTTCGAGACCAACGGGTTTCCCTTCCCGATATCCTAGAAAACAAGATTGCAGCTCAAGCTGTTGAGATGGACCGGCTCTCTAGTGACAACCGTAAACTAGCTTCAAGCTACGTAGCTCTCAAGGAAGACTTAACTGTGGCTAACCGTGAAGTCCAAGGGCTAAGAGCTCACATCAGAAAGACTGAAACAGACAGCGAGATTCAGATCCGAGCGACTCTTGAGAAAATAGCTAAATTGGAGGGTATGGTGCAGAACAGAGAGAATATAAGGAGGGAGGTGCAATTAGCTCACATTGAGGCTCATCGATTGGCCAGAGAACGCGAAGAGCTTGCTTCGCAGGCCAAGTTGTTGTTAAAGGAGTTGAAGAAGGTTTGTCTTGAGGCAGAGAGTTTAGAGGCTTCGAGCCAAGAGCTTGAGCGGTTGAAAGAGGAGCACAAAAGATTACGGTAAAAAGAGGAGTCTTTTACATGTCAAGTAACTGTTAAATATTCATCAGTTGTTTTAACCATTTGGTTTAATGTGACAGGAAAGATTTTGAGGAAGAGAAGAGTGGGAACGTAGAGAAACTTGAGCAATTGAAAGAGATGGAGAGGAAAATAATCGGAGCGGTTAAAAAGATTGAGAAACTGCGAAGTGAAATCGCAACCGCAAGGAGCAGAGCCGTCGAGAATTGAATGTGTGTTTAGATTTCAGAGAGGCCGAGGCTGGGGCTCCTCTATTTAGGGAGGATTACAAGAACCACAATTGTGTTCTCATTTTTCCTAATATATATATATGAGCTTTCCTTTTTCAAATCAACCTGTTACTTCTGAAAAAAATGAGTTAGAGAAGTGCTCTTCAGCATCTGCTGAGGATTAAAACGAATGTAGAAGTAAGAAAGAGAGAAAATTGTACCACAGAAACGAAGAGCGTACTCATTAGCATTTGTAAACGTCAGTTCATTAGCTAAAGACGGTTTAGTTTAACAAACTGGAAAGAATTTGGTCACTAAAAAAATAAATAAAAAAATTTGGTTACTTTATGCAATTGCAAAACTGCTAAATGATATGCTTATTAGCCTATGACTCAAATTGAAATTAGTAGAAAAGCCATGAGGTTTACTCTTGACAGTGAACACATTTGTTCCTTGATACAGGTGGATTCTTACTAAACTTTCGAATCTGGATACATATTACGAGGACTTTGAGAAATTCATCGACTGGTTGATGTTTTTTCCTTGTCGGTTTTTCTCGTTCTTTCTTGGTTTTTCTCTACAAATTAACAGAGTGGGGAGGTCAAGCGACTAGATCGACCTCATCACGTTGAGGGTAAACCACATCAAGCCTCATCATACTCTTGTACTGATCAGGTACCGCTGCACCACCTTGTACACACATCTCCACAACCGCAGGAGCCTTGCCGTAAAACCTCGTCAAGCTATTATCAAGAACAGAACCATCAGTAGGATCCCGAACATGCCACACATAGTTTGGACCAACCACATCATCAATAGTCGCTTCTTGCCATGCATGCATTCCGTCTCGCATCTGATGCTTTGTAGCTTTACACATCCTCACTTTGTGTCCCTTTGGACCCACCTGAATCTCTGGACAATACCCACAAGTCCACACTTTGTATCTCTCCATCAGTTTCCTGACCCCTGAAACCATTTCAAACCATGAATCCATCGTCATGATGCTTATTTCCTTCAAGCTCTTCTTCTCTTCCTTGCAACTATCGTCTTCTTGTAAAAGTGTAGTAGTAGAAGTAGCTGCAGTTTCTGAAGTTCCATCACTGACTTCCTCAAAATCTACAATCCTTCCTTCGATGCTGTAGACAGGTTTCGATCTTCGCTTTGATGGGAATTTCTCGAGGTCTACACCGGCCTGCATGCATAGCTCGAGAACCGCAGAGATTTTAGGGACGGTAAACCTCTCGTCGTGTAAAACTCTCGGTTTGACAGCACGGTCATAGAGATGAAAACATTTTGGGAACAACACAACATCGCTCACTCTTCCTCTTTTCCAGACATGAGTTGCACTTCTTGAACCGCTTCCGGGGCCTGTGCAAGTCCTGATTTCATGCCCTTCCTTGCCAATGTGAACCTCAGAGCAGCATCTGAACAAGGAACACAAGTTCGAACATCAAAACTAGATAAAACCGACTAAAGTCTCCATTTTCAGCTCAACTCACACTGGATCTTCTGTTTTAATCAAGTAAACCACATTAAGCACCCATGATTTCACTCACTGGTACTAACTCCAGATACTTAGAGGATCAAACTGAAAAGAGCTCAACAACTCAATCAATTTAGACCCCAAATGACTCCAGTCCAATTTAAGCTTTATAAAACTGAAATTTATACTTATTAGTAAAGATTCATTCATCATCAAATCAAAACAGAGAAGGGAGACAAAGTAAAGTAACCTGCAGCGATGAACAGGAACATGATGAATAATTTTTGAGAGGCCGGAGAGTAAAGAGTTGCGGCATCGGTGAACACAGTGAGCCACGTGGACAAGTTCCGGTACAAGTAACCCATTATCCGGCGGATCTTCCAGAACTCGACATGGTTGTAATTTTCTCAGTTGTTTCTCCTCTTTCGCACGACGAATCAACTCTTTCATCGGAGTCGGATACGGCTTCCTCTCCGATTTATCCTTCCGAGGCTTGGGTACGTCGGCGTAGAGAGGATCGTCATCATCAACAACAAGTGGAACGTCGAGATTGGTAAGAGATTTAATGTAAGTTGAAAAATGAGAATTTCTGACTACGAAGACGGACATTTGCACTAGCTTTCTTCTCTGCATTTTTCTCCCTCTACCACGGGTAGATGCACACGAGGTGTTTGATAGAATTCCTCAATGATAAAAACTGGGTTCTCACTTCTCAGTTTGTTGTTTTTTTCCCCAAGCCTTGTCACGTGGCTCTCACGTGATACGGGTGTACCTTGCTGTTTTGGTTGATGTTCCCGCCTCTAATACTCTGCTTCTTCTTCTCCTCGCAAATAACAAAATTTCCTCCTTCAAAGCAGTCAAACCCTAGAGAACAAGAAAGAGAAAGAACCTTGAGAATCGTTTACTATGGTGCCATCTTTCAAGGATGATGAGGAGGGCGCACAACTTTACAAAGAAGCTACACATCACGTCGCTAAAGGAAATTACATCAAGGCATTAGAGATCATCGAAGATTTGAGTTTAGTGGAAGATAAAAACACATGGCTTCTTCGTCTCAAAGAAGGTCACATATTCTTGGAACTAGCGAGAAAAACAGAGAACCCTGAGGTGGAAATCGCATACTTGTTAGGTGCTGTAGAGTGCTTTTCGGGAGATGGTGGTGGGTTATCACCACTTTGTGCAAATGCACTCATCATGTTGGGAAAAAAGCTTGGGTCAGTATTGTATTACAATAAGTCCGTGGAGAAAGCAAAACAAGCTTTAACTGTTACTCAACTGAGTTTGCTAGAGCAAAGAGTATTCGACCAAACGAATAAAGGTTTGTTGAGCTTAATTGAAGATGCACAGTCCCAGATCGCTTCTCCCAAGACTCTTGTTGGTTCTATCATAAAAAATTCTGAACAAAAAGTTATGGAGTCAAATAAAAGTCCAGACCCACGTGAGGATGTGGTTAAAGGATTGAGGTCATACTGGGTGGGATTGGATGTTAAGATCAAAAGGGACTTTATGAAAGTAAGCATTGCAAAGTTTATTAGTTTTGTTGACGGAATAGGACATTACGGAGAGGAGGGGCGAGATGTTTTGCAGCAAGTTCTCGCTTCTGCAAAGAGAGACAGAAAATGGACATTCTGGATATGTCGAACTTTGTGTTCGAAAAAGTTCTCTAGTGCTGAAGAATGTAAGAATCATTTTGAACAAGTACACGCTGCAGATTTCAAACTTTCGTCAGAAAAGGATATGGTCAAGAGGATAGGAAAAGACTGGGCTCGTAAGATATCAGTTGGAGGTTGGGAACCAGTGGATACAGTAGCTGCCATTGGAATGATCAAGAATCACCTCACAGATGTGAAAGCGTTTGTATCTAAATCTAAGAATGGATGGTCCAATGAATGGCATATAGCTGTGGATGAAGAGCGGAGTAAGTTACTCAAGGAAATCAAGTTGCTCCTTGTCTCGTTTTGCGAGCAAAAAATTCTCCCCGGTAGCATTCGTGACTGGATGATGCGTTTTACAGTTAAGCATCTTGTAAAACTTGAAGTTTCCGAACAGAGTCTTGTCGATTCTCGTTTAGTAGAAACACCTCAGAGTATCTGTTTTCTAGAAAGTCATGAACTGAATCAAATCCTAGAATTTCTAAACAACATCAAGTGTGAAAGGAATGATGGTACAAATGTGGTTTGCAGAGCAGTGGACAGTTTCCTGGATCGTACTCGAGTTAAAGAAAAGATCGATTTTGACCCTGAGTTTTCATATCTGCTACTGGATAAAAGTCTACTGAAAAGCAACACTGCTCCACTCGATGATGAAGGGACTATCAGTGTTATTGATCCTAATGCTCACTACGCCAAGGCACAAGCTCATGGAGATGATATCATAACATGGTTAACTGACTACAGTTCAGTAGATAAGACCTTTCCCCGACCTATCAGAGAACATAATCTTGATATCTGGTTGGCTGTTCTGAAAGCTATTCAGTTTACATGTAGAACTCTGAGAACCAAATATGCAAAGAAAGTTAAGGTCTTAGATTATGATGCAGCTCTTACTGCTGTCAAGAACTTGTGTATGAGTGAAGATAAAAGGAGAATGAATCTTCAGGAAAATCAGTGGAGCAGATACGCATCTCTTCTATGCGATAGATGTGAAGAGAGAGCCCCAGGAAATTCCACAAAGTTATTCTTGTGCGTAGTACGAGATGTTCTCGAAGGAGCACTGCATCCAACATTTGATTTTCCCGATTTAGAAGATTGCCTGAATCTTATGCGTGATCGTAAAAGTGTCAGCGATGATAGAGTGTTGAGCTCAATAGACCTTCTGAAATCAGTGGTCATCCACAAGGTTCATTCATGATTTAATTATTCATTAATAATAGAACATGAAATTGCCAAGCTAATAGTTTGTACATGACTTGCAGGTTTTACTAATCGATTCAAAGATATTACTGATTGATAATTCAAGGATGAGTTTGCTGAATAAACTCACCAAGCTTTCTATTTTTGACAACCGCACTTATATGCTTCAACTGCTGAAACCTTTCTTGCTGGTTGGTTTGAAACTTTGGATATATACAGAGAGCTTTCATATTCTGTCTATTGTGGCCTTTAAATAATATCTTAATATGTTTCTTCTCAACTAGAGTGAAATTGTAAGTATGGAATCCAAAGCGAAGTCAGAGGCAGCAGAAGCAGAACTTTTACTCGAAGAGAAGAAGAAGCCACAATCAAAGAAGAAAAATAAAAGCAATAAGGTTTCTGATGTTCTAAACTCTATATATACAGAGAGATTTCATTACCCGTCTAGGTTTTCCTTTGAATTTTTTCTTATATGTTATTTTGTCTCTTCTCATCTAGAATGAAGTTGTGAATATAGTGTCCAAAGGCAAGTCAGATGCAGCAGAAGCAGTTCTTTTAACCGAGAAGGAGAAGAAACCACAATCAAAGAAGAAAAATAAAGGCAATAAGGTCTCTGATGTTCTAAACTCTATTTAATCCTCTAAATTTTTAGTTAAGCGGTTGTAAGGACGAGTGGTCTTCCTGGTACAGCAGAGAACTTCAACCAGCAAGTCTAATCCGCGTGATAAGACTGTTGAACAGTAAGTACCGTATGAGTCATTTTTCGCATGCTATAAATTGTTTTCAAATTTTCTCTGAGCAAATCGTCTTCTTACATGTAACACAGTAAACCTGCTGTCCACCTTGAGCCTGAAAGTACATCTTCATCACTTAAAACGGTGAAAGAAGATTCTATGGAACCTGGATATGCTCTAGCAAATGAAATTCAAGAGGAAGATGGCCCTGGTTATTAAAAAACTTCTCAATTGACCAATAATGTGATTTTTTTTTTGGGATTCATAATTCTTATTTGCTTCGTTCGCCATCTTTAAGATATGCAAAACAAGCCTGGAGAAGATTCACTGTTGGAACATTTGGAGTCAGCAGCTGGAGAAGCTGCAACCAGATACAATTCAGCTTTTGATGTGACGCTGAAGGTAAAGAATTACCAACCAAAACAAGATTCAATACTTAAATTCTCATCTTTTGATTAAGCTCATTTTACATCAAACATACTGTATCGCAGGCCCTCTTGAGCATTAAGATTTTCAAAGAATATTTGATGCGCAATAGGCAACCATTTCATGACGACCTGGAAGAACAAGTTCCTTCTTCGCTACAAAACTTCTTTACATCTTTTGTGTCAGAGGTGATAGACGATGAGGGAATCTACAGTTGCCTGTTGAGCGACTTCCTTGCTGACCTAGAAGAAGTTCATTCCATGGTACGTGTAGAGAATATAAGCTTCTTAGCATAGTGTTATTATTATTTGTTGAATAAGCTAAACTGTTAAGTCATCCTATTTGCTTTCTTTCAGTCAAGTAAAGCTGCTGAGGTACTTGTAACCATCCTTGAGTTCTGGCATTGCTGGAAAAATCCAGAAAGAGAGAGCTTGGTAACTCGCCTTTTCACATTGGAGGAAAATGAACGAATTAGTTGTACCAAATGCCGAAGGAAGCCAAATTATCCAGAGCAAAGTTCTTATGGCATTGTTATGGCTGCAGATTCAATCCGAGACCTAAAGGTATTGTTAATAAATTTTCCTCTTTATCCTACAGAACTGGTACTTCTTCCCTTATAGCTTACAACGCTGTTATATGCTTATAAATATGCAGTGTGCTCTTGGGAATATAGAGTTTATGGATATCCTTAAGGTGATCCGCATGGAATATAAAATCTTCTGTGACATTAAAACAGGAGGATGTGGAAAGACAAACTTTGTTCATCACATTATAAGTAGATGCCCACCTATCTTCATAATCGGTAAGTTGGACCACCATGGTTGAGATCTTATTTACTCGTATCATTTATTATGCTTATGATAAAGCGATGTTGGTGTTTTTTGGGTTTGCAACATTAGTGCTAGAATGGGAGAAGAGTGAAACTGAGAAAGAAATATTTGAAACAATAAAGGCTTTGGAGTGGGAGATAGATATCAGTAGGCTATATGAAGGCGTAGAACGAAACACTAACTACCGGCTAGTGGCAATGGTAAAATCTGAAACAAGGTCACAAATGTTTGTCCCATTGTTCTGTTTTTTTTTCTCTGTTACAATGTCAACATATATGATGCAGGTTGGTTGTGGTGAAGAAGAAGAACACATCTGCATAGTTTATGAAAAGAACCGGTGGGTCAATCTCAGGCACGCTGTAGAAGGAGAGGTAAGACGAAACTGCTTGTCTTCCTTGAGTTGAATAATGAATTTAAATAGGCAAGCCAACGTAATGAAGATATGTGTGGTGAATGACATAGGTTGTTGGTAACTGGATGAGTGTGGCCCGTTTCTGTGGAGAAAAGAAGGTCCGACCAGAGATTCTGTTTTATGAAGCTGTCCGATCGATGGTCTAACAAGTGACATTATTGTATCAATGTGGAGAGGTCCAGCTTCGATGTATAAAACAATGACATGTTCCAATTCTAAAGAAGTTGTGTGTTTGTGCTGTAAAATATGATTTGTTTTGGAAACTACAAATGTTCAACTACAGTCTACAGAGAGTCCTTACCATAAACACATCAAGCAAGAGGAGGGCATTTCGCATAATTGGTTTATCTACCAATAGACACCTTTTATATTAACTTAGTGTTTTTTTCCATGAGTTCTCCGAGATCGCTGTGATCCAAGTATAACTCGGCAAAGATGGTACATCGCATTTGAGTCTTAAAAAAGAGAGAGTATTGGAGTTAGTTTACTTTGGTTATCTACTTAGAGCATATTCGTTGGAAGAATTATGCACGTGTGTGTTTTAAGAATCTTAGCTTAGTCTAACCAACTCCGTAACAGATGCACATATAGTTGTAACTAGTTCCTAGATTTCGGTTCTCTTGATCTATAAATGTAATCGCCTAGTCTTAAAGTTGAATACGCAGAAATACTTTGATATCTGTTTCTCTTCAGAGAAAACATAGAGATGAAGAGAATGAAGATCGAAAGAAGATGAAGCGCTTGAGCTCAACACCTTTATAACGACTTCCTCAAACACATCGCTTAACAGCATCAATCAAAACAGCCACTTAACCGGCTCGGTTATCTTTCTGGTTCATTGCAATGCTCGGTTATCTCTCTGAGTATGTGCCTAGTCACTTGCTAATCGATTTATAAGTTTTTTTTTCTATTTTTTTTTTTTTTTTTTTTTTTGCCTACAATCGATTTGTAAGTTATATAATTGAAATTGACATCTCTTCTCTCCGACCAAAGATAAAAATACGATTTTTTTCTTCTTGTAACGCTCGTCCAAACATATTCACGAAATTTATTCATCATCAACTATCAAGAAAATTCTACATTTAAGTCTGAACCCAAATTCTAAGCTTTACTCAAGTTTTGGTCTTTTTTCATATATTTTTTTTCCGGTTGGATTGATGCACACAAGGTGTTCGACACCATTTCCCAATGCTCAGAATACTGTTTCTCTGTTTGTTTTTTATAAAGCCTTGTGTCATCACGTGGCAGTCACGTGATAAAGAGCCAGCCTCTTCAGTTTCTTGCGAATCATATTCGGTTACTGTTCCCGCCTCTACTACTCTCTCACAAATCTCTCTGAATTGTTACAGAAAGAAGAAAAGAACAAAACTTTAGAAACAAAGAACCTTGAAGAATCGTTACTATGGAGTCTTTTTTCATGAAGGATATTAAGGGGGCAAGACTCTACAAGGAGGCTGAAGGTCTCATCACTAAAGGAAACCACATCAAGGCCTTGGAGATACTTGAAGATGTCCTTTCAGTCCATTGGGAAGCCAGCGACTCATGGCTTCTTCATATTGAACAAGGTAAGGTGTTCATGGAACTAGCGGAGAAAGCGGAGGACCATGATGTGGAAATTGCATACTTGTTGGGTTGTATAGGATGCTTATCGAATCATGTGAAGGCATCACAACTTTGTGCACAATCACTCCAATTCTTGGCCAAACATCTTGGGTCGGTCTTGTATTACAAGAACTGCCTAGTCAAAGCAAAAGAGGCTTTAGCTGATACTAACATCAACAAACTGAGTTCAGCTACTCCAGTGGGATTCCGAAACCTAGTCATCGGAAAGAACAAAGAAATGGAGAGTTTAATCAATGCTGCAGAGTTCAAGATTGCTGCTTCCAAGACTTCACCTTTAATACCTGAGCCAAAAGTTAGGGAATCCAAGAAAAGTGCAGAGCCGTCTGGGGATGACTTTAAGAGGTTGAGGTCGTATTGGGTGGGATTGGATGTTAAGATCAAAAGGGAGTTTATGAAAGTAAACATTGCAAAGCTTGCAAGTTTTGTCGAGGGAGTACATAAAGGAAAGGGACTAGATGCTTTTAAGAGAGTTATCGCTTCTGGCAGGAAAGACAGTAGATGGACCTTCTGGATGTGTAGAACTAAATGTTTGAAAAAATTCTCTAGTGCTGAAGAATGTAAGAATCATCTTGTATTAGAACATGCTGCAGATCTTAAACATTCTTCAGAGAAGGATGTGGTCAAGAGGATAGGAAAGGACTGGGCTCGGAAGATGTCGATTGGAAGTTGGGAACCAGTGGATGCACTAGCTGCCATTGACATGATCAAGAATCAGCTAGAAAATGTAAAATCGTTTGCATCTAAATCGAAGAATGGATGGTCCACAGAATGGCCTATAGCTGCGGATGAAGAGCGAGGTAAGTTACTCAAGGAAATCAAACTGCTCCTTGTGTCGCTTTGTGACCATAAAATTCTCTCATGTAGCATTCGAGACTGGGTGATGCATTTTCCAGCTACATATCTTAGAAAACTTGAAGTTTCCGGACCGAATTTTGACGAGTCTCACCTTGCTGAAACACCTCAGAGTATCTGTTTTCTGGAATGTCATGAACTCAATCAAATCATAGACTTTCTAAAAACCATCAAGTGTCAAAGGAATGATGGTACAGATCTGGTTTGCAGAGCAGTTAACAGTGTCTTAGGTCATATACGAGTCAAAGAAAAGATCGACTTTGACCCTGAGTTTTTGTATCTTCTTCTGGATAGAAGACTTCTGAAAACCAATATCAATACATTTGATGATGAAGGGACAATCAATGTTTGTGATCCTAGTGCTCATTACGCCAAGGCACCTGCTTATGGAGATGATATCATATCCTGGTTAACTGACTACGATTCAGTGGATAAGACCTTTCCGAGACCTATCAGGGAACACAATTTTGGTATCTGGGTGGCTGTTATGAAAGCTGTTCAGCTCACATGTAAGACTTTGGGAACCAAATATGCAAAGAAAGTGCAGGTCTTAGAGTATGATGCAGCTCTTACTGTTATCGAGATCATTTGTATGAGTGAAGATGAAAGAAGAAAGAATCTGCCAGAAGATCAGTGGAGCATATATGCATCTCTTCTGTGTGATAGTTGTGTAGAGGGAGCTCCTGCAAAATTATTCTTGTGTGCAGTACGAGATGTCTTGGAAGGAGCATCGCATCCGACGTTTGATTTCCCCGATTTAGAAGATTGCTTGAATCTTATACATGAGCGTAAAAGTCTCAGTGACAATAGTGTGTTGAAGTCCATAGACCTTCTGAGATCAGTGGTCACCCAAAAGGTTAATCCACGATTTTAATATTCATTAACAATATAATAACATAAAATTGTCCATCTAAAAGTATCTACATGACTTGCAGGTTCTTCTAATGGATTCAAAAATTTTGCTGATTGATAATTCAAGGATTAGTTTGCTAGACAACCTCACTAGGCTTTCTGCTTTTGACAACCGCATTTATATCCTTCAACTGCTGAAACCTTTCTTGCTGGTTGGTTATATACATAGAGATTTCATTACTCTTCTATTTTTGCATTTAAATCGTTTCTTATATGTTATTTTGTCTCTTCTCATCTAGAATGAAATAGTGAATATGGAGTCCAAAGCCAAGTCAGATGCAGCAGAAGCAGATCTCTTAATGGAGGTGGAGAAGAAGAAGCCACAGTCAAAGAAGAAGAATAATAATAGCAAAAAGGTCTTTGAAGTTCTAAACTCTCTATTTTCTGTCTGATTTGGCCATGAAATTGTTTCTAATATCTCATTATTTCTCTACTCATAGAGTGAAATTGTAAATATGGAATCCAAAGCGAAATCAGATGCAGCAGAAGCAGATCTTTTACTCGAGGAGGAGAAGAAGCCACAATCAAAGAAGGAAAATAGAAGCAATAAGGTCTCTGAAGTTCTAAACTCTCCATTTGTTTCTTTGACTTTTTGGTTAATCAGTTGTAAGGATGAGTGGTCTTCATGGTGCAACAGAAAAATTCAACGAGCAAGTCTAGTCCGTGTGATAAGTCTGTTGAACAGTAAGTACCTTATGAGTCATTTTTCGCATGCTATAAATTGTCTTTAAATTTTCTCTTAGCAAAGCATCTTCTTACATGTAACAGTAAACCTGCTGTCCACCTTGAACCTGAAAGTACGTCTTCATCACTTAAAACGGTGGAAGAAGATTCTATGGAGACAGGAGATGCTCGAGCAAATGAAATTCAAGAGGAAGAGCATCACCAGCTAGAAGAGAGTTTTGTTCAGAATAATGATGGCCCTGGTTACTAAAAAACTTCTCAATTGACCAATAATGTGATTTTTTTTTTTTGGCATTCATATTTATTATTTTCTTCGTTCACCATCTTCAAGATATGCAAAACAAGCCTGGAGAAGATTTACTGTTGGAACATTTGGAGTCAGCAGCTGGAGAAGCTGCAACCAGATACAATTCAGCTTTTGATGTGACGCTGAAGGTAAAGAAATTACCAACCAAAACAAGATTCAATACTTTAAATGCTCATTTTACGTCTCTTTACTTCCTTACACAAAAACATACTGTATCGCAGGCCCTCTTGAACATTAAGATTTTCAAAGAATATTTGATGCGCAATAGGCAACCATTTCATGACCACCTGGAAGAACAAGTTCCTTCTTCGCTACAAAATTTCTTTACATCTGTTGTGTCAGAGGTGATAGAAAATAAGGGAATCTACAGTTGCCTGTTGAGCGACTTACTTGCTGACCTAGAAGAAGTTCATTCCATGGTACGTGCAGAGAAGATAAGCTTCTTAGCATAGTGTTATTATTATTTGTTGAATAAGCTAAACTGCTAAGTCATCCTATTTGCTGTCTTTCAGTCAAGTAAAGCTGCTGAGGTACTTGTAGCCATCCTTGAGTTTTGGCATTGCTGGAAAAATCCAGAAAGAGAGAGCTTGGTAACTCGCCTTTTCACATTGGAGGAAAATGAAAGAATTAGTTGTACCAAATGCCAAAGGAAGCCAAATTATCCAGAGCAAAGTTCTTATGGCATTGTTATGGCTGCTGATTCAATCAGAGACCTGAAGGTATGTTTCATTTAATTTCCTCTTTGTCCTACAGAACTGCTACTTCCCCTTTTAGCTTACAACGCTGTTTATATGCTTATAAATATGCAGTGTGCTCTTGGGAATACAGAATTTGTGGATATCCTTAAGGTGATTCGCATGGAATATAAAATCTTTTGTGACATTAAAACAGGAGGATGTGGA